AAGGAAGGAAGGAAGGAAGGAAGGGGAGGAAGAGGAATAGGGAGGAAGAAGGAATCAAGGAACATGAACCAATGGGGAATAAAGAAGAAAGGAAAAAGAAGGGAAAGGTTGAAGGAGCCGAAGAGGTAGGGAGAGATGGAAGAAGGGAAGAAAGAAGGGAGGGAGAGGAGAAGGGAGGGAGAAGGAATCAAGAAACAAGGGGGAGTAAAGAAGGAAGGAAAGAAAGAAGGGGGAAGGAGAAAGGGAGGGGAAAAAGAAATGAAAATGAAGGCAAGGTAGGGAGGAAGGAAAGGGGGAAGTAAAGGAAGGAAAGATGAGAGGGAAGAGAGTAAAAAGAAGGAAGGAATGAAATAAGGGCAAAGGAGAGAGGGAAAGAAGGAAGAGGGAGAAAAAAGGAAGGAAAAAGAAAGGAAGATGGGAAAGGGAGGAAAGAAGAGAGGGAGGGAAAAAGAAAGGAAGGTATATTGGGAAGGGTGAGAAAAAGGGAACAAATAAGTAAGGAAAGAAGGGTGGAAGGAGGAAGGGAGGAAAAGGACAAGTGGAGAGTCAGAGGAAAGGCAGACGGGAGGGAAAGAAGAAAGGAGGAAGGAAGGAAGGATTGAAAGGGAGAAAAGGGAGGGCAGAAAGAAGGGGAAAAAGAAGGGGAAGAGGGACAAAGTAGAGGAAGAAGGGGAAAGTGTTGGAGAGGGAGAGATAAAAGACCTTGGTTGGTCAATCGGTAATGGATGAATCAACAAGTCAACCAGTGTTTACGGTTGTAACAACATGGAAATAGCTTCGACTCATGCCACTCAAAAGCCACTAAAAAGAACCCAACAAATGCAGAGTGCGTACCTTCGGGGTTGTCCGTGGGTCCAGAATCGCACTTGCTCTTGCATTGTTGAGTTGCAGGGGGTTTTAGGGCCTCCACGCATTCGCCAGAGGGCAGCCCCGTGTGGGTCACGCACTGGACCGAACGCCGCTGCTGGCCCAAGCCACACTGACCAGAGCACTGTGGAAAGAAACAGGAACAATGGCCATTGGCGCCAAACATTTTCAGGATCAAAGCAGTTATTTGCAATTTAATAAATCATACAATCATAGGATAGAGTCCTAGAGCTGGAGAGAACCTCAAAGGCCATCTAGTCCAACCATTTCCTGCAGAAACGTGTTCGCCTTCATTGCTGCAACACCACGTATGAGCGATAACACTGCGTAACCCCATTTTTGTTCCTGGGTTATCAATGTCATTTTATGTATATATTATTTTATGTACATATTATGTATAATATTATTATCATCATTATTATTTACATATTATATATTATTAATATATATTATATATTATAAATATGTATATATTATTTTATATACTACTATTATGAATATGTTGTGAGTATATACAATTATTATCAATAGTAATATATTATTATCTATAGTATTTCTATATTATTAATGCCATTTTATGTATATATTGTTTTATGTACATATTATTATGCAATGGAATTATCATCATTATTGGAGCCCCTGGTGACGCAGTGGGTTAAACCCCTGTGCTGGCAGGACTGAAGACCGACAGGTTGCAGGTTCGAATCCGAGGAGAGGCGGATGAGCTCCCTCTGTCAACTCCAGCTCCTCATGCGGGGACATGAGAGAAGCCTCCCACAAGGATGATAAAAACATCAAATCCTCCGGGCGTCCCCTGGGCAATGTCCTTACAGACGGCCAATTCTCTCACACCAGAAGCGACTTGCAGTTTCTCAAGTCGCTCCTGACACGACAAAAAAACAACATCATTATTGTTATATATATTATATATTATGAATATTTATATATTATTTTATATACAACTATTATTAATAATATGTTATGAGTATATGCAATTATTACTATATGATCTATAGTATTTCTATTATTATTATTATTATTATTATTATCTATATAAATAAAAATGTAATATTGGTTTGTAGGATTAGCATAACTCAAAAACCACTGGACGAATTCACACCAAATTTGGACACAAGACACCTATCAGGCCAACGAGTGACCATCACTCATAAAAACACTGGAAAACACAGTGAAAGAGACTTAAAAGCCAAAAAATAAAACATACATTACAACACATGTGCAAAACCACATATATACCGCAAACACACATATATACACATATACACATATATACACACACAAAACACATATACACAGACTGGGCCACAGTAACACGTGGCAGGGGATGGCTAGTTATTTATATATTACACATTTTTTATTCCTGGGTTATAGATGTCGTTTCTTAATTTGTTCTATTATAAAAACATGGGAAAAGTTCATTAAACTGCTCAAACTCTGACATCATCCTGCAGCTCATTTTGTGATCGTTGTCCAATGACTATCTCATCAAGTCTTAACCAATTCAACATCGTTCGTGGCACAAAAACAAAGTTTCTGGAGTATAACAACTACTTTCAAAGTAAGGATGGCACAATTAAACAGGAAATCACACTTTCAAACCAGCAACAGAATTTTTTTTCCAATTTTATTACATAGTGTAATACGTATAATCCCATTTTGGTGCTATATTGAGCCCATTATCATTGAAACTGGTTCATCATTGCCTCTTGTAAGCGCTCCCTTATGTGGCTGGATCTGGAATAGCTTATAGAAATCCTAGTGTTGGAAGAGACCCCAAGGACTGTCCAGTCCAACCCTATTCGGTTGTGAAGATACAAGCAAAACCCTCCCGACAGATGGCCATCCAGTCCCAGCTTAACGGCCTTATTGTAAGGAGGTTTCTGACTGATGTCTTTTCCATACCTCTCCCCATTCACCAGTGAGCCATCGGGGCGGAGGGCAGCGGCGGAGGCTGCATCGGATGCTGGTGGGGGGCTTGGCGTTTTCGGGGCATTGGGATGTGGGCAACGTAGAGGCATGATCCCCACTTTTGCAAAGGACGATGCGGTGGCGGAAACCGGGCCCACAACTCGGGGTGCACTGCAAGAGAAACGGTAGCATTTGAGAGACTGAAGGTTCCAATGTTACTGGGTTTTAGTCCAAACTTCAACAATCATGGACTCATAGAGCCTAGAATAACACTGCGCCATATTTGTTCCTGGGTTCTAAATGTCACTTTCTAATTGGTTCTGTCATTAAAACATGGGGAAGGTTTATTAAATTGCCCAAACTTTGTCTTTGCGGAAATCCATAGATTAGATGGGATCCCCCGAGGTCATCTAGTCCAACCCTGTTCCAGGTAGGAAATCCACAGCTAAAGCATAGAATCACAAGAGTTGAAGGAAACCCCGAAGGTCATTTAGTTCAAGTCTCTTCCAGGTAGGAAATCCATAGCTAAGCGTAGACGGGATCCCCAAAGGTCATCCAGTCCAACCCCGTTCCAGGTAGGAAATCCAAAGCTAAAGGTAGATGGTATACCCAAAGGTTATCCAGTCCAACCCTGTTCCAGGTAGGAAATCCACAGCTAAAGCATAGAATCATAAGACTTGAAGGGAACCCCAAAGATAATCTAGCCCAAGCCTCTTCCAGGTAGGAAATCCATAGCTAAGAGTAGATCGAACCCCTAAAGGTCATCCAGTCCAACCTTGTTCTAGATAGGGAATCCACAATTAAGCATAGAATCATAAGAGTTGAAGGGAACCTCAAAGGTCATCTAGTCAAAGCCTTTTCCAGTTAGGAAATCCACAGCTAAATCCACAGTTAGGAAATCCACAGCTAAATAGATTAGATGGGATCTCCAAAGGTTATCCAGTCCAACCCTGTTTCAGGTAGGAAATCCACAGCTAAAGCATAGATTAGATGGGATCCCCAAAAGTCATCCAATCCAACCCTGTTCCAGGTAGGAAATCCACAGCGAAAGCATAGAATCACAAGAGTTGAAGGGAACCCCAAAGCCCATCTAGTCTATGCCTCTGTCAGGCAGGACATCCACAGCTAAGCAAACATAAGAGTTGAAGGGACCCCTAAAGATCATCTAGTCTAAGTCTCTGCCAGGCAGGACATCCACAGCTAAACAATCATAAGATTTGAAGGCACCCCTAAAGGTCATCTGGTCTATGCCTCTATCAGGCAGGACATTCACAGCTAAACAATGATAAGGTTTGAAGGGACCCCTAAAGGTAATCTAGTCTATGCCTCTGTGATACAGGACATTCACAGCTAAACAATGATAAGGTTTGAAGGGACCCCTAAAGGTCATCTAGTCTATGCCTCTGTGATACAGGACATCTACAGCTAAACAATCATAAGAGTTGAAGGGACCCCTAAAGGTCATCTAGTCTAAGTCTCTACCAGGCAGGACATTCACAATTCTAAGGGTTGAAGGGACTCATACGGTCATCTAGTCTAAGCCTCTATCAGGCAGGACATCCAGAGCAAAACAATGATAAGAGTTGAAAGGACCCCTAAAGGTCGTCTAGTCCAACACTCGGCCTTGCAAGAATGGACAATTAAAGTGCTCCATCCAATTTATGTTTAAAACCCCCCAAATATGGGGAGCATATCCTTTGAGACAGTCGATTCCCTTCCTTTTTCTCTCTCTTATTACATTCTGAGAATGTACCTCTGACCAATCAAGGGCGGCCCATTCTGGGGGGCAGGTCTGGTTGTTGCAAGACTCCAGGACATGTGGCCGAGGCTGGGCACAGGCCCCATCATCCAGGGTTTTCTCCTCGGCAGTGGCAACCTTGCGCCGGCAGGACACGCTCCGGGTGCGCACACCTTGGTTGCAGCTGCGGCTGCAGTCAGACCAGTTCCCGACAACCCAGCTGGAGTGGAAAATGCAATTAAAGACGGGTAGGAAGGAGGCATTTTTTTGTAATTAGAGGACAAAAGGAAATATTTGGTTGGGTGGGGGGGGGGGGTATCTTTCAAAGTCCCACTGAATATCAGCAAAGGCAAAACACTCACGCTGGGGGGCACGGCTCCACGTTGCACTGCCTCTGCCTCTCTGGCAGCTTTGTCTCAGGGCTGCAGAAGTGGTTGAATACTGTGGAGCTGTCAGCCTGGTTGCGGCAGACCACCGGCTGGAGTTGGCTGCCTGCAAATAAAGAGAGTTGGAGGGGTAGCAGAGGAGCAGCCAGGTACAGATCTATCATGCCTTGGTCCCAACAACTAGTGAGAAGCCCTCCCTCTATGTTCCAACTGCCATTGCCCTGACTTTGGAAGGAGAGAAGAGCAGCCAGGCACAGCTCTATCATGTCTTGGCTCTCCCTCTGTGGTCCAACTGTCATTGCCCTGATTTTGAAGGGAGGGAAGAGCAGTCGGGCACAGATCTAGCATGCCTTGGCCCCCTCTCATGGTCCAACTGTCATTGCCCTGACTTTGGAGGGAGAGAAGAGCAGTCGGGCACAGATCTAGCATGCCTTGGTGTCAACAATTAGTGAGAAGCCTTCCCTCTATGTTCCAACTGCCATTGACCTGACTTTGGAGGGAGAGAAGAGCAGCCAGGCTCAGATCTATCCTGTCTTGGCTCTCCCTCCTTGTTCCAGCTGCCATTGCCCTGATTTTGGAGGGAGAGAAGAGCAGCCAGGCACAGATCTATCATGTCTTGGCTCTCTCTCCTTGTTCCAGCTGCCATTGCCCTGACTTTGGAGGGAGAGAAGAGCAGGCAGATGCAGATCTATCATGCCTTGGTCTCAACAACTAGCGAGAAGCCCTCTCTCTATGTTCCAACTGCCATTGACCTGACTTTGGAGGGAGATAAAAGCAGCCAGGCACAGATCTATCATGTCTTGGCTCTCCCTCCGTGGCCCAACTGTCATTGCTCTGACTTGGAGGGAGAGAAGAGCAGCCAGGCACAGATCTATCATGTCTTAGCCCTCCCTCCATGGCTCAACTGCCACTGCCCTGGCCTTGGAGGGAGAGAAGAGCAGCCAGACACAAATCTATCATTCCTTTGCTCTCACACCTTGTTTCAGCTGCCATTGCTCTGACTTTGGAGGGAAAGAAGAGCAGTAGGGCACAGATCTATCATGCCTTGGCCCTCCCTCCATGGTCCAACTGCCATTATCGTGACATTGGAGGGAAAGAAGAGCAGCCAGGCACAGATCTATCATGCTTTGGCCCTTCCTCCTTATTCCAGCTGCCATTACCCTGACTTTGGAGGGAAAGAAGAGGAGTCAGGCACAGATCTATAATGTCTTAGCCCTCCCTCCATGGCTCAACTGCCATTGCCCTTGCCTTGGAGGGAGAGAAGAGCAGCCAGGCACAGATCTATCATGCCCTGGCTCTCCCTCTATGTTTCAACTGTCATTGCCCTGACCTTAAAGGGAGGAAATAGCAGCCAGGCATAGACTGAATGCTTTGGTACGATGGTTGTTGGTCTCCTGAACTGGAAAGCATCCTTACCTCCCGCACAAATGGCCGAACATTTGGTCCACGAGACATACTGCCATAGATACTGGGCCACGGAGCTGCGGCTGATGGGTGCGTTGAACTTATACCGAATCCTCTGCAACTCTTCCCGGACCAGAACCTGTAAGGAAGGCAACATCAATGAGAAAGGTTTTGGCTAAACCGACCCACCTTTCTCCACTTTTTCACGACAGCATACCATGACAATGAGGGTGATGTTGGTGGGACCCAAAGCCTCCAGCGATTCCGGTTCGTCCGGCGACCGTCTATAATGGAAGGTAGTCCCTGCGACGTCAAAGCGCCGAGGGGGATCGATCGAGAGTTTTCCGTTGACAAAGTATTCCTCATTTTCCCCTCTGAGAGCTGTGACAGAGAAGGATTTGAGATAACGAAGATCTTGGGTAGCTTTAGTCCAAACTTTAAGAAAGAGGGACTGGAGCGGGACAGAAGCGGAGAGCTTTTAACTTGATAGATCCACTTCTCGTTTTGGTCCAAACTCCAAATAAATTTTCCAAGGAACTGAAACAATAGATCAGTACCTTGATAGGTACTTTAAACTTCGGACTAAAGCCCAGAGCTGCAAAAATTCCAAAGCTTCTCACCCAGGTAGTTCAGAGAGAGGTTGAGCTCCCGGATATCGATGTGCACCGACCCTTTGGGGATCCAGATCACCTCTTCGTAGCCTGGAAGACAACGGGTTTCGATGTTTGGATGCGAATGGCCCACAGCCTAGCCATTAATAAACAATGACAGCTGTTGCTGAATTCGTGGTCTCCGACTCACCTCCCTCAGGCAGCGAATGGTTGAAGATGCCTTCGATGGTTTCGCAGCTGCTTCCGTCACCGCCACAAACCCGGCATTTGTCTTCTTTGGTTTCCGAACTCAGGATCCGGTCACAGCCGACGTGCTGTTGGGAGGAAGATTGATGACGAGAGTCATTTATGGTGAGGATTAGGCTTTCGAGAGTTTTTCAACCCCTCTGAGAACGCACAGAGAGCTCCAACGAAAGGCAACTCTGTGTGGTGGAGTCATAATCTCTGGAGGTTTTAAAGCAGGGGCTGGATGGCCATCTGTTGGGAGGACTCGGATGGTGTCTTCCTGCCTGGGAGAAGGGGGTTGGACTGCATGGCCTTTTGGGGTATCTTCCAACTCTAGGAACCCATCTCTCTAACTCTCTATCTATTTATCTTAAGGCGGGTGGACTAGCTGGCCATCTGTTGGAAGAGATCGAATGTTGTGTTTCTATCAGACTGAATGAGGCTGGACTAGATGGCCTTTAGAGGTCTCTTCCAACTATGAATCTATAAATGAGGGAGTCTCTGTTATCCATCATTCCCATTCACAAAGGCTTATTGGTTGCACTTCCATAACTTTCCCCAAAACGTGGAGGCTTTCACCTTGCACTCTCCTCCGACGCAGATATCGTTGGAGTCCTGCCGGCAAGGAGTGCCGTCCACCACGGCTGCGGCCCGCTCCGTGTAGAAGTTGAAGCCCTCGGCCAAGCAGTTCAGCGAGCAGGACTTGACGCCACCTGAGGAAAGAGCACCAAAGAAGGACGCACACCATTGAAGTTGGCCATTGCGGAGGCCGTGGATATGGAAGAAAGGGGTTGGACTGGATGGCATCTAGTGTCCCCTAATGTAATACAATATAATACGAATATAATACACTGTAATAATAATATATGTAATAATATACTAATTGTATATTATATATTACATGTAATATTACTAATAATATTGCAGTATAGTGGTATAGCACAATAAAGTAATATATAATAATAATATTGTGCTATGTTAATAATATAGCCCAATATTAGTATTATATATTACTATATTGTGCTATACCACTATAATATTGTATGAAGATATAATATTCTAATAAAATACAATATAATACTAATTATACAATACATAGTAAAAATATTGGAATATAATACTAATATGTTAAATACAATTAATACTGATAATATATAATAATATATATTGATATACTGTTTTATTATTGTTTATTTGTATATTTTAAGTTGTAATGGTTTTGATTGTGAGCCGCTTTGTGAGCCGTATGGAGAGATAAAGCGGGATATCAATCAATCAATCAATCAATCAATCAATCAATCTCTGAAATTGCCATTGGGATGGCTGGCTTACCGCCTCTATATGTCTTCCATGTGTAGTATTTGCCTCGGAAAGGTATGTGATCGAATTCGGCACACTGGAGCTCCCGGAAGTCCTGAGATCCAGCGGGGCAGTCCTACGGCAAGGAAAAGGGTTGGTGGAGAAAGACCCTGAAGTTATTATTAACTGTGACAGCGCGAGTGGCACCACCTATATGTAGAACTGTAAATTGCAGGATTTGAACTGTTGCATCATGCCTGATTTTGCCTTTTTATCCTGTAAATGTATAGTTGGATTGATTGGTTATTTACAGCTGTCAATCAATGTTGTTTGCACCAGTTAAATTGCTCCTCCTGCTCAGTTGTTTGACCCCACCTCTTCCTAGAGAGCAGGACAATGTTTCCTTTTCCATTCCACCATCAAACTTTCTATCAGATGGACATGAGAGAGAGACTTGACTCTGAAGCCCTTGATTAAGTTACCTCTCAGCACCAATTCTGAGGTTCTTWCCCTTGAGACTTATGCTTCATGTTCAGATCAACCTGGACYARGTTMAYKAGTCRCAAYRHCRTTCAAADCAGRRRTTTGGCACCWGAGGAAGYRTTTGTYRRTRRAAKKTATAGYSCAWTTGGABTTGSGGTTGTYGATWYRTCCYYRATTCACAGCCATTGAGAAAGAGGGACCTGGAAAAGCTTCTCAGCTGCAAAACTCCTTGGACCCAAGACAACCAGAGACTGTAATGTATGTTTTCCTTTACCCCTTTGAAACTTCCAGCTTATTGCCTCAAAGGGATAACTCTTTGTGAACAATTAAACCTATTTTGAGTTATCTACAGTGTTTTGGTCCTTGGGAGTTCCAGTTTTCCTAATGGAGGGCAAGAAGCACTCCCCTGGGGGAAAGATGTCACGTCCATGCCTCTTTCACTAAGAGTTATAGCCCCCAGGCGCAACGGCATATTAACGGTAATCTCTCAGCCAGCGCAAAATGTCTTCAAAGCTCTCAGCTCCATGTCAGCGGGGAAGAAAATCCATTCCAGGTTTTGGAAGAGATTCTACTGAATCTGGCAACCTCTACCAGTAGGGACAGAGGGCTTCATCTATACTGACGATCGTGCCACCACCACTCAAGCAGGGAGCTTTGAAATGGTTGACCAGAAGTTCTCCAAAGATTTAGGTACTCTTACTGCCTATTACAGGGAAAATCAGCTGATTCCTAATCCATCTAAAATGCAGACATGTTGTACGAAAGCTCACTAGCACAACCTGGGGATCACAACCAGACACAGTGAAGACATCTGCCCTTGCGCTTTGCTACTCTGCTGCTGAGTACACATGCCCAGTGTGGAATACATCTCACTACGTTAAAACAGTGGATGTGGCGCTTAATGAGACATGCTGCATTATCACAGGATGTCTAGGCTCAGCATCTCTGGAGAAATTATACTGTTTAGCTGGTATTGCACCACCTGATATCAGCAGGAAAGTAACAGCCAGAAATGAAAAGACCAGGGCATGAACATCTCCAGCCCATCCTGTATTCGGATATCAGCCAGCAAGCCAATGCCTTAAATAAAGAAATAGCTTCCTAAGATCTACAGATATACTCGCAGGAACACCTCAGCAAGTGAGAGTCCAAAAGTGGCAGGCTGAAACTCAGAACCTTAATCAGTGGCTGATACTGAATGAGAAACTCTGTCCTGAGCACACAGAAGAATGGACGAACTGGAAGGCGTGAACAGACTGCACTCTGGCACCACGAGATGCAGAGCCAACCTTAAGAAACAGGGCTATAAAGTGGAGTCCACAACATGCGAGTGTGGAGAAGAACCAACCATAGACTACTTACTATAATGAGCCCTGAGCCCTGCAATATGCACAATGGAGGACCTCCTTATAGCAACATCAGAGGCACTCCATGTGGCCAGCTTCTGATCAAAGGATATTTGGTATAATGCCAAGTTTTTAACTTTGTTCATGGTTTTGCTATACATTGTAACTATATTCCAAATTCGCTTCTGACATGATAAATACATAAATACTGAATCTATTTAAGAAGAGGACTCAGAAAGTCCCTTTACTGCTTGAATGTATACCTGGAGAGTTCAGCACCCTCTCCAAGCACAGATTTGTGTTTTGCTGTATAGAGTCCATATAGCATTGTTTTGTGCCCTTTTCTCAATCAAAGAGATACCAATAAATAATCTATATAAATAAAAATGTAATGTTCGTTTGTGGGATTAACATAACTCAAACACCACTGGACGAATTGACACCAAATTTGGACAGAGTACACCTAACAACCCAATGTATGTCCTTCACTCAAAAATTTTGATTTTGTCATTTGGGAGTTGTAATTGCTGGGATTTATAGTTAACCTATAATCAAAGAGCATTCTGAACTCCACCAACGATGGAATTGACCCAAATGTGGCACACAGGACTCGCATAAACAACAGAAAACACTAGAAAGGTTTGGTGGGCATTGACCTTGAGTTTGGGAGTTGTAGTTCACCTACATCCAAAGAGCACTGTGGACTGAAACAATGAAGGGTCTGGACCAAACTTGGCATGGATATTCCATATGCCCAAATATGAACACAGATGGAGTTTGGAGGAAATAGACCTTAACATTTGGGAGTTATATTTACTGGGATTTATAGTCCACCTACAATCAAAGAGCATTCCGAACCTCGCCAACGACAGAATTGGGGCAGACTTCCCACACAGAACCCCCATGACCAACAGAAAATACTTAAGGCCATCCAGTCCAACTTCATCAGGGCAAGAAAACGTAATTAAAGCCCTCCTAACAAAGAGTCATCCAGCCATAGATATAGTTAGATATATATGATTCACACACACACATATATAGTATCATAGATTTGAAAGGGACCCCTAAAGAAGGACAATTATATGTTGCATGTTCCAGGGTGGGCAAACCAGACACTCTCCCCACCAACATTCACAAAGAAACAGCAAGAAATGCTGTTTATCCACAAGCAGAAAGAAATTACATATGTTAGAAACCAACACTTTCTCATTACTTTATTTTCCAGATCACCAGACTGGGCCACAGCAATGCGTGGCAGGGGACGGCTAGTAATAATAATAATAATAATAATAATTTTCCCACTACTCACATCGGTGTTGCAGGACCGATACCGTTTCCGTTCTCCCAAGCAATATCTCCCTCCGATCGTCGGCCTTTGGCACCGAAAAGGGAAAGAAGTGTATCAAAACACGGTAACACGTTTAAAACATCAACAAATCTTAGTATCATTGTTTGTTAATGATACAAGGCGACAGTTTCCTTGTAATAATTAGAATGAAAGAAAAATAGCCTTTACAAATGGTCCCAGTAAAAACTCCATTGGAATTCAGGCAGTAACTTCACAGTGGTCTTCAAATCAGTGGGGTTTTCAGCCTTAGTGGAGTCATTGTATATGTATCAGTTATATCTTTCCTGCCACCTTGTGTCCAGAATGGTGAATTATATGGTTTGATTTCTCAATAAAGAAGGTTAAAAGCGGCAATAGGAAAAGGAATTCTGGAATTTTTGCGACACTGGATTCTCCCGGCTTGGTTTTGGTTTTACTGGCATGTTAATGTATTGTTAAATGAATGTATTGATGATTTTGTATAATGCTTTAAAAATGATTTTACTGTGTTAATTGTAATTCAAGAGAGACATTGACAAGCTGGAATGTGTCCAGAGGAGGGCGACTAAAATGATCAAGGGTCTGGAGAACAAGCCCTATGAGGAGCGGCTTAAGGAGCTGAGAATGTTTAGCCTGAAGAAGAGAAGGCTGAGAGGAGATATGATAGCCATGTATAAATATGTGAGAGGAAGCCACAGGGAGGAGGGAGCAAGCTTGTTTTCTGCTTCCCTGGAGACTAGGACACGGAGCAATGGCTTCAAACTACAAGAGAGGAGATTCCATCTGAACATGAGTGGAAGGCTTTCATGGCCGGAATCACTGGGTTGTTGTAGGTTTTTTCGGGCTATATGGCCATGTTCTAGAGGCATTCTCTCCTGACGTTTCGCCTGCATCTATGGCAAGCATCCTCAGAGGTAGTGAGGTCTGTTGGAACTAGGAAAATGGGTTTATATATCTGTGGAATGACCAGGGTGGGGAAAAGGACTCTTGTCTGCTGGAGCTAGGTGTGAATGTTAAAGGAGGAGGGAGCAAGCTTGTTTTCTGCTGCCCTGGAGATTAGGACGTGGAACAATGGCCTCAAATGACAAGAAAGGAGAGTCCATCTGAACATTAGGAAGAACTTCCTGACTGTGAGAGCTGTTCAGCAGTGGAACTCTCTGCCCAGAGTGTGGTGGAGGCTCCTTCTTTGGAAGCTTTTAAACAGAGGCTGGATGGCCATCTGTCAGGGGTGCTTTGAATGCAATATTCCTACTTCTAGGCAAGGGGTTGGACTGGATGGCCCATGAGGTCTCTTCCAACTCTATGATTCTAATTTTATGGTGTATATGTTGTTAGCATCATCTGATGCTTATGTGAGGCCGCCCTGAGTCCCCTTGTGGGGAGAAGGGCGGGGTAGAAATGTATGAAATAAATACATAATAAATAAATAAAACCACGATAACACAAGCCCGCCTTTGGGGAGATTAAGCTGGGTATTATTATTATCATCATCATTAATAATAATAATAATAATAATAATAATAATAATAATAATAGAGTATAATAATATTTTTTATTATTAAATGATGATGATGGTTATTATTATTATTAAAATTTGAGAGCAAAATTGACAAGGAAAAAACATGGATGTGGCTCACACATGAAACTTTGAAAACGGAGAGTGAAGGTCTGATTTTTTCAGCCCAAGAACAAGCCATTAGAACCAATGCCATCAAAGCCAGTATTTGAAAAGTCGACAACAGATTCCAAATGTAGTGTCTGTAATGTAATGTGATATGATGGATCACATTCTCAGCTGCTGCAAGAAGATCGTGCAGACAGACTATAAGCAGAGGCATAATACTGTTGCTCAGATGATCCACTGGAACTTGTGCTACAAATACCATCTGCCTGCGACAAAGAACTGGTGGGATCACAAGCTGGAAAAAGTTACAGAAAGTGAACACGTCAAACTACTCTGGGACTTCCGAATTCAGACTGACAGAGTTTTGGAGCACAAGTATGGATTGTCAATGTTGCAATCCCAGGCAACAGCAGGACTGACGAGAATCAACTGGAATAGCTTACACATATGAGGATTTAAAGATCAAACTGCAAAGACTCTGGCACAAGCCAGTCAAGGTGGTCCCAGTGGTGATTGGCACACTGGGTGCAGTGCCTAAAGACCTTGGCCTGCACTTGAAAACAATAGGCGCTGAAAAATTACCATCTGTCAGCTGCAAAAGACCACCCTACTCGGATCTGAATGCATTATTCACTGATACATCACACAGTCCTATGCACTTGGGAAGGGTCCGAGGTGTGATCAAATACAAAAGCCAGCATAGTGATCTTGTTTGCTGTGTATTCATCTTGTTGTGTTTCAAATAATAACAACAACAATAACAACAACAACAATAAAAGTAACAAAATTGAAAAAAATATGTTTCTCATATGAAAGTGTTATGTTTAATTGTGTGTAATACACTTTGAAAGCTGTTGTCTGACGCCGGGAATTTGGTTTCTGTGCCTGCCACAAACTAGGTTGAATGGGTTGAGATATTCGTCGAAAAACAATTGCAAAAGGTGCTATAGCAGGATGTCCCACCAAGACAAAGTTTGGGTAGTTTAATCAACTTTTCCCATGTTTTTATGATAGAACCAATTAGGAAATGGTATTTATGACCCAGGATTTCAGGCACAAGACTTGCAAAGAGTCTCCTTCCTGGGAGGTTTGGAAGCAGATGCTGGATGGCCATCTGTCGAGAGGGCCTTGATGGTGTTTTCCTAAATGGAGAATGGCATTGGACCCAATGGTCCTTGGGATTCTCTTCCAACTCTAGGATTTCTTTGTGGTATGAAAAGGCTCAAAATGCTGGATGGAAGAGGTTTACCGGGGGCTGTCACAATGGCGGATGGACGAAGAGACGCCTCCTCCGCAGGTCCGGCTGCACTCGCCCCAGGATGACCACGAGCCCCAGGCCCCGTCCACGCCTTCGGGCCGAGTGCCAAAAGGGACACATTCCCGCTTGTAACACCACTGGGGGAAAACAAAACAAAACAGAGGGTTGCAATTAGCAGGCTTGAATTAGCATTGAGTAGCAAGGAAGCTGCAAAGTCAATCAGGGAGGGTATGCGCATAGAAGTAGCAAGTGGAGTGCATATATGTCCCTGTGGAATAATGTCTAGGGTGGGAGAAAGAACCCTTGTCTGTTTAAAGAAAGTGTGAATGTTGCAATGAGAAAGCTGCAAAGTCAATCAGTGAGGGTCTCCCTGCATAGAAGTAGCCTGGCTGAGGCTGCATGGAGGCACCCTCTATTTGGGAGGTGTTAACTAGCCCTTGAATGCTTGTTGTCTGAAATTCTCCTGTTTCGGAGTGGTGCTCTTTATTTATTGTCTTGGTTTTTTTTAATACTGGTAGCCGGATTTTGTTCATTGTGATGGTTTCCTCCTTTCTGTTGAAATTGCCCACATGCTTTTCAATGGCTTCTCTGTCTAGTCTGACATAATGGTTGTCAGAGTGGTCCAGAATTTCTGTCTTCTCAAATAATATCCTGTGCCAAAGGCCAGTGAACACCTCTCAAACAGAGGGTGCCTCCAGGCAACAAAGGCTGGGCTGCCTCTACGCAGATACCTTTACTGATTGACTTTGCAAACTTCATGGTTACTCAAATGCTAATTCCAACTTGCTAACAGCAACATCCACACTTGCTTTAACCAGACAAGGGTTCTTTTTCCCACCCTGGACATTACTCCACAGTTATAGGGGTATATACATTCCACTTGCTTCACTACCTCTATGCAGATACCCTCACTGATTGACTTTTCAGCTTCATGGCTCCTGAAATGCTAATTCAAGTTTGCTAACTGCAACATTCACACTTGCTTTAAGCAGCGGGTGCCTCCAAGCAACAAAGGCCACACTACCTCTATGCAAATACCCTCACTGATTGACTTTGCAGCTTCATGGCTACTTCACTGCTACTTCAAGCTTGTTAACTGCAACGTTCACACTTGCTTTGAACCAAGGGTGCCTCCAGGCAGAAAAGACCAAGCGACTTCTATGCAGACACCCTCACTGATTGACTTTGCAGCTTCATGGCTACTCCATTAATTTACAGAGAAAAGGCAAGGCACTAAGGCAGTCTTTTTGGCTTTGCTTTCAGCTTTGCTTCCTTGCACTTAGTAGACCGTAAGCTGAACACGAGCAAACCTACCATTGACTTCTATCCCTTGATATTACAAACCCAACTTGCTATCTTACCCCCTTTTCAATGGTGTTTGACTGGCAGATGGTCCCTTCAGCCGCCGGGATGCTGTTGGTGACGCACCGGTTGCTCTTGCTGAGGCACCACAACTCATTGCACACTTCCTACAGAGGAGTAGAGAAGGTAATGGGTGGGCATGGGAAGCGAGCAGGGGGAAAATGGGGGGCATATAACCCTAAATGTGGAGCACTATTACAGCTTTTCCCCACAAAGTCCTCCAAATTATTTTTTGAACTCTCCAAAATGTCCCCGGACTGCCCTATATTCCTTTTCCCAAAAAATCAGAGTTTTCATTCTCCGAATCATTAACGTATTGCTACGATGTTCTATATAAATCCAATGTGATGACGCCCAGATGGATGGAAATTTGTGTATTTTGGGGATCATTCTGCGCAAAAATCACTTTAAGAGAGGAAAGCAAGATATGAATACACACACACACATATATACACACATATATACACACACGTGTATCTGTGTATAGGGTGTCCCAAACACACACACATACAGTAGAATCTCAGTTAACCAGACATGTCAAACAACTGGAAATTGCATTCACAAAGCTCTTTGTATAATACTGTGTTACATTAAGTTTGTCTTTACTCGGAGAGCGTTTTCAAAGACGCTTTGAGTCTCCTGGTGGAGAGGAAAATCGGGGTATCAATAAACATATTAAAAGCAAAACCTGGAATAGATTCGCTGCCCGACTGGACCAGATCCGCTGGCCGTGGGGCCCAGAACTGGCTGCCCAACAGCAGGAGCCAAGCGCCAAACCCGCCCTGCCACCCGCTCGGGAATCAAGAGTAAAAGCAGGAAGTCTCTACCCCATATTTACACTGGCGAGATTTAACTCCGTACTGAAATCGGCACTGCTCGTCGGCATCATAGGCTTGGCCTGGGGCTACCGTCGGGTAGATAAAGTCTTGCTTGGGTGGAGCGTTGTTCAAACACAGTCCCATCCCCGAGCTGAAGAGGACGGGAAGGAAAGAAGAGCAGTCACAGCTGTGTGATGGAGTCTCCTTCTCTGGAGATTAATAATAATAATAATAATAATAATAATAATAATAATAATACATCACACAGTCCTAGACGCTTGGAAAGTGTTCGACTTGTGATTTTGTGATACGAAATCCAGCATAGAGATCTCGTTTGCTGTGACATACTGTGCTTTTGTGTCAATAATAATAATAATAACTTTTTTATACCCCGCCTCCATCTCCCCGAAGGGACTCGGGACGGCTTACATGGGGTCAAGCCCAACAGAACAGTTAAAACACAATACATTAAAATGCATATCAACAAGGTGATAACAAAAACAATATAACAAAATAAACAACAACATTGAACAGTATATAAAACAGAATCAAAACCAAACAATCAAAAGCAAAATTCACTGTCTTGTCAAGGGTGGGCAGACTGGTGCCAGAAAATTAAAGGATGGAGCTAATGGGTAAAGTGCAATTTGCCAGGAGGGCTCTGATTGTGTCTTCCGGGGACCGGATGGCCCTTGAGGTCTCTTCCTACTCTACAAGTCTATGAAACGCACACAAGAAAGGTGCAACTTACTCCAAGAAGCTGGTGATGTAGTCCCGGCTACAGGTTGACCACACAAAGGGATTGGTCTTCATGGTGATATGGGCGGCCATGAGTTTGGCTGTCTCCTGGCCCCTCGAGCCACAGCTGTTGCCGACCCCATCGTGATTCATCCCAAACCTGGAAGGAGCCCCCCCCCCCCAAAGGATCAAAAGGCTGGCTTGAGAAGGTTAGGATGGGGGAGGAAAGAAGGAATGTTAGGAAAGAAGGGGGGGAAAACGAGGAAGAAAGAGGGCGAGTGGAAGAAAATGAAGAAAAGAAGCAAGGAAATGAGAAAAGAAGGGAGAGAAGGAGGGAGGAAAATAGTAAAGAAGGGGGGAGAAAAAAGAAAAAAGAAGGAAGGGAGGGAAGAGCAGGGGATGGAGTGAGGATAGTAGGGAGAGAGGGAGAGGGAAAGGAGGAAAGAAGGAAGGAAGAGAGGGAGGGGGGAAGGAAAGGAAGGAAGAGGGAGGGAGGGAGAGATAGACGAAGGAAGAGAGAGGGGGAGGAAAGGAAGAAAGGAAAGAAGGGAAGGAAGAAGGCAGAGAGAGGGAGGAGAGGAAGGAAGGAAGAGAGGAAGGGAGTGAGTGAGTGAGAGAGAGAGAGAAGGAAGAGAGAAACGGAGGAAATGACGAAAGGGAGGGAGGGAGGAAAGAAGGAAGAGAGAGGGAGGAAATGAAGGAAGAAAGAACGGGAGTGAGGGAATGAGCAAGAGATGGAAGGAAGAGAGAAGGGGAGGAAATGACGAAGGGCAGGGAGGGAGGAAAGGAGGAAAGAGGGAGAGAATGAAGGAAGGAAATGAGAAAGGGAGAGAGGGAAGAAAGAAGGAAGAGAGAAGGAGAAAGAGAGAGGGTGGGAGAATAGGAGAGGAAGGAAATGTGGAAAGAAGAGAGGGCTAGAGGAAGGAGAGAAGGAAGGAAAGAAAGGAGGTAGGTGGAGGAAATAAGCAAGAAAAGAAGGGGGGGGGGGAGGAAGAAGAAAGGGGAGAGAGGGAAGGTGGGCCACTGTCTGTGTTTACAAGACTTTCCATGCACAACCTTTCCCCCCAAATGGTGCAAACATACGTGTGGCCAATCTCATGGGCAATGGTGAAAGCCGTGGCCAAACCCAGGTCTTCATTGATGCTGCAGCTCCGCTCGCGTTCACACATTCCACCCACGGGCGCCAACCCTGCGAAGGAGAAATAGAATCGCACGTGTTTTTCAGTTTCCCAGAAACTTTCATAGGCCAAGGAAAACTGAGCAAAATTCTTGCTGGTCTGTTATGATTTAAGATTTCTCTTCGTTCCAACCTGGGAGCAAATAATCGTGAATAGTCAGTCTATAGACGAAGTTGGGGATTAATTGGCAGGGTTTAAAGTTGACTGCCATATCCAGTTTGTTCCCTGGATTTGGTTTGGGCATACTTCTCCAAATGAGCCTAAACTTGAGTTAACAAAGGACCTTGTGTTGATAAAGAACACCATTGTAGGGTTCCTACCTACCGAGAGTCCCACAAGGTTTGTTTTTGTAGATGCAAATGTCGTACCTGAAAGAAAAACAAAAGGAAAGGGATCATTAAAGAGGGGGATAAAATGACAAACAGTTTCAGAGCAAATCTCACTAGTGAATTTATAGGGCGTTTCTGCTATGGTTGTCCTACCCACTGGAACTTTCAGAGGGGAGGATCAAATGCTCTTTCGTCTTCCAAATAGGACTTTATGAAAGAGATAGAGAGAAGAAAGAAAGGCAGAAATAAAGAAAGGAAGGAAACAAGAGATGTAGAAGAGAGGAACATAGATAAAAATAGGGACCAAAGAAGGAATGTATAAGTCAAAGGTTTATGAGTATCATGCATCAAAGCTTATCATGCGTTGGCTTTGGGGAAACCCAAGATAAAATTGAACTAAAGTATAGCTGATGTTGCACTCCAGCCCACGAACACCTTTCTACCTAGCATCACACAGAGTCCAGGAGTACCGCACTTATTTACAAAAACATATATAAAAGGGAAAAGGGGTATTTCCCAAAAAAGCTGTTGAAAAGGTGCTATGAAATAGCAGTATCTAAATATACAGAGTTCAATAGTCCAAGATAGCAAGGTCCATGAAATCCATGAATTCAGGAACAAAGGCATAAATCCATAAGCATGGAACAGGAACTTTTCCAAGACAAGGCTCTATCCCAGTGGTTCCCAACCTTTTTTTGAGGGATCACTTGAACAAGGACCACTTTGACCAGTGACCTCTCTCCAACATTAGTACCCAAAAGGGATATGAATCAGTTTTTGGTCAACTTTATATTTGGTTTGGTTATTTGGGGCGCTAATTCAGAAAATTGCATTGGATAGATCACATCAGTTCTAGTTTCTGATACAGGACATATGCCATCTAGTAGGCGCCATCTGCTCACCCACAGAAAACCATATTTAATAATTTAGAGCCATGGACCTTATTTTAGGTCACTGTTGGGCTGCAGCCCATGGATTGGGAACCACTCCTCTATCAGGAACACAGGCAACTTGAGAGCAGAACATGATTTTATGGCAACGTTGTCTGCTCTGAAGAGACCAGGAAAACATCACTCAATTTAAGCTCAAACCTAACCAAGAAGCCATGAGATTATCCCTTCGACACCTGGGTTTCAAGGACCGCTTCTCACAGAGTCTTTCTGGCCTTCTAATTAACCTTTCCTTGGCACAGACCTAATTTCATATTGTGGGGTAACTCATCTTCTGAAAGCTGAGAAGGCCGATTCCCAAGAAAAATGGAATACCAAATATCCTCTATCTCTTCTCTGGCTGTTGGCCCTTCTCTCTGATTTAAAGCCTGTGTTTCAGCCTGATCAGATAGACTCAGTGAAAAATGCATCATTCCCTTCATCCTCCGAGGCAGAATCCCCAGCATCTTGCTGTTGAGCCCCAACAGCTGGCTCTCCATATCCACACATTCTGTATCTATGGAACCAACTGAGCTGTTGGAAAATATTCAGGAAATATCACACAATTGCCTGTCTATATTCTGCAACTCCCCTTGAGCTGCAAAGAGAGACACGTAAGAAATAAAATTATTATTATAATAACACTGTCTCCTCTTTTTCAAACTATCCGGAGAAAGAAAGATGGGAGACTCTCGCCTCGTTTTTGCCCCTCTTGCTCTGGTTCACCTGGTGATCAAGACGGCCGTGTCGTGGTTGGCGATGCCGTTGTCCGGAATGGCATTCCCGTGACCATTGCGGTTCACAATTGATTTCTGCCACTTGCAAAAGCTGTCGAGGGACTTCCCCGCGTGATGGTTGATCTCCAGTGTGGGCTGAAGGAAGGGAAGGGATGATGCCGTTTGTTTTTTCCATACATTTTTATTAAGCATTTCAAAAAAGAAAAGAAAGATCACCCAAAGAGAAAAAAACGGTGGGCGTAGTGGAGCTTTGGCTAGTAGTTTAGAACTATCTAAATCTCTACTATGTCACCAAGGAAGAGGAAAGGCTTTGACGGGGAAGACAAATCTTATATTTGTTATAATTATTACGGTATGTCTATATCTTCATCTCAAGTACTATTATATATCTTTTCAAGTCCTTTATCTCATTTTAACTATTGCCCTATAAATCTAAAAATTCCATTCCATTTGTTAGTCAACTAATATTGTGTAGGTGAGAATTTACTATATTATATTGTCATCTTTTTCTTTTAAACACTATACAAACATTATATATTTGTGTGTATGTGTGTGTGTATATAATCTATACACATAATGTATGTGTGTGTGGCTGGGATGTCCACTTACACAGACAAGCTCCCACTTCCACAAACAGCTATAGCTCCCACTACTCAGGAGTCACCAAAGGCCAATGTCCAATGACATTGCAGGTTATAGCAAGTGCCATGAACATATGCAAGAGCCCTGCCAATGTCCTCCCCAAACACCATGCTGCCCACCACCCAAGTGAAAGCTTTCATACAGGAAGCATTTCATCCTAAATTTGATGTGTTTCCTCCACCACAAACATCTATCTTCCTGACTACCTCCATTGGTGTGGAATTTGCATGACCCTGCCCACTGCCTTTCTCTTAACTCTTTTCTACACTTCCTATGGCAAATGGAAAACAGAGAGGAATTGATCAGCAACTGAACATACTGAAGGGGTTTGGGAACTGACTCAACATAATGGAAGTTGTAGTTCACCCTGCATCAAGGCACAGCACTGGGACCCTCACCGACAATGAGCCTGAACCACATTTGGCACACAGAACCCCCATGACTAACAAAAATTACTGGAGAACTTGGGGGAGGGGGGCAGGGAATTCATCTCAATTTAAAGCAGTTGTAGGTACTGGCATGTATAGTTCACCTGCAATCTAAGAACTGCACTCTGAAGTCCACCAACAATGGACCTGGATTTAACTTGGAACAGAACCCCCATGACCAACAAAAAATAATGGAGGTCTTTGGAGGAATTTATACGAGTTGTAGTTCACTTACATCCAGAGCACCGTGAACCTGACATATGATGGACCTGGACCAAACTTGCCAGGGATGATGAGATTTGCAGTACCTTCACTCATTTCCAGAGACCACTGCGACCCCCACAAATGACAGATCAGGACCATAATTGGCACACAGGACCCCATCCCCCATGACCCACCATATGTCCTGGTGAAGTTTGGAGGAAGATGGATCACGAATGATGGGATTTTCAGTATCTTCACCCAATTTGTCTCCCACTGACCACAGCGCCCCAATTCATGATGCACCTGGGCCAAACTTGCCACACCGACTCTTCATGGCACACCTTTTGTCCTGGTAAGGGTTGGGGGAGGATGAACCAAGGACGTTGGGATTTGCAGTATCTTCAGTCACTTTCAGAAACCACCGCAACTCCCACAAATGATGCATCTGGACCAAATTTGGCACACAGACTCCTTATGACACTCTTAATGTCCTGGTGTGGGTTAGGGGAGGATGTGTGCCAAATGTGGTCCAGGTCTGTCATTCGTGGGGGTTGCAGTGGTCTCTGGAACTGAATGACGGTACTGCAAATCCCATTATCCATGGCAAGTGTGGTCCAGATCCATCCTTGGTTGGGTTCATAGTGCTCTCTGAATGTAGGTGAACTACAACTACAATTCTTCCCAAACCTCTTGTTCAATTGCTGATCAATTCCTGTTTGCTGTGTGCTATAAGAATTGGTAGGAAAGGGTTAAGTGAGAGGCAGTGGGCAGGTCATGCAAATTTGGAGAGAGATAGGAACCCTGGGATGTCCATTCTGGAGAAAAAACAGAACATCTAGGATGAAATGGTCCCCAAATGAAAGCATTCCTTGGGTGGCTGGTGTTTGGGGAGGACATTGGTAGGGGTTGGGCTACATATACATGCCGCTCACTACAACCTGCATCATCAGTGGAAAGAGTGCCTTTGGAGGCTTCTCGGCACTTGGAACTATAGCCTGTTTGTGGAGCCAGGAGTCTGTGTAAGAGGACACCTCCGTCACATACATACACACATTTTCACTTTTATTATGTTTATAGATAACTGTATTCTCGCTTTGCTTCTGACATGATAAATAAATACTATGGGCTGACCCTACAACCTCTGGTTTGTGGATAACTGTTCCCCGATTCCCTCTTTTTGGGAACTTCACCTGATCATCAGTCAACAAGATGAGCCGGGTGACCAGGATATTCACAATATTTCCCAGGCTTGAGTCTTGGAAAAGTTTAGCAACCTGACCTCCAGGAAACAAAGAAAGACCAGTGTTAAAGCCACAGATATATACACACAGCCTTAATTGGCACACAACAACAAAATCACAAAACAGGCATGTTATACAATAAGAGGAAGTCACAGGTAAAAAGGAAAGCATCATTGAGAGTTAATGATCTCAAGAATAAAATTTGCAACAGCCTCACAAAAGAATGCATCAGAGTGGTTCAGAAGATATGGGATTTTATAACACCCTTGCTATTGAGAACACTGAAAAAAATGGAATTCCCTTATTTCAACCATATATTATCATATTTAAGGCATACAAGCAAAGAATGGCAAAGAACAAACCCTTTTGGAACATTCCACATTTGTATATCTCCCATCCAAAAGAGCTGCTGGCAACACATTACATCTTGCAGTCGCCAAAGCTCTCCTCTGGGTGGGATTAATCAAAATGTGAAGAAAAGCACGGAATTAATGGCGTGGTAGGGGAACAAGCTGTCTTTGCTGCAAGAGTCAGATTGTGAAAGTCAAGATCCAAAAGTCTGTTCTTGATTGATTAACAGGCTTCCCAGTGTTAAATCCAATATGGGTGTGGCATTTGAGGATGGATGTTATCATCTATTCTAAGGGGAAACGGGCCCTGTAAAACATGCCTCTGGTCTTCGTATAACTGTACATGAAGTTCCTATCTCCCTAGGAATTTGATAGATTCTCCAATAGAGTAGAAATAGACTATTGGTTCATTTGAAGGACCCAAGACATTCCTAAAGAGGACATATTTTGTGGGTACTGTCCAATAGTTAAATTCTATATATTAATTATAAGGGGTGTGTGTGTGCACGCGTTTATTGGCACAAACACCTGTGATAAATATGATGTGTGGATTGAATGAAATTGTATGAAAGGAGTATGAATGAGGTCTGATGAAGACTGAAGACACCATCCTAAGATTGAGGCCTGGAAAACTACAAAAGGAGGCGAAGAATTCATAAGCTCCTAAACTGCTGACATGACCCGAGACAATGCTTAACTGTGGTTGAAAACAACATGTTTACATAGTCAAAAACAATGACTCTTTTAAGTTAAGGTAGTCAAACAATGATTCCTTAAGAAGGAAAACCAATGATTAGTTAAGGAAGAAAAGCAAATATCTGTCTAGGAAATGACGGAGTCAGGATGTTTTCACTGCCAAACAACCTGCCAGTCATTTACAACTTTTTGGAACAATAGCAGCAAGAAATATGCTATGTATTCATAAGAGACTTTTTTACTATCCAAAAAGTGTGGCAGACTGCAGGGGAATGCAAGGTCTGTACACCCAGCTCTGTCTCCAAGGGACGGAGAAGGAAGAAGGGATAGTAACGTATGCATGATGGATGAATGAATGAGTATATGTGAAGGTTTCCCCCTGTTTTGTTTGTTTGTGTAACCAGTGTAGCTATACTCCTTTCTCTGAAAGTGCTTAATGCAACCTGTCTCATTGGAAACAGCCAACGAGAGAGGGAGGAAATGGAAGGAAGGAAGAGAAGGGAGGGAGGGAGAGAGGGGAAGAAGGAAGAGAGAGGGGGAGGAAATGAGGAAGAGAGGGAGGGAAGAAGGAAGAGAGAAGGAGAAAGAGAGAAGGTGGGAGGACAGGAGAAATGGAATACAAGAACAGTTTTAATGATAAAAAGCATTCACAGCACACCTTGCTTGTAACACTTACAATATTCATGATGGCCAGGATATACTGCTCGATGTCCCTCCGACCGTGGTAGCCCACCATCATCTTGTCGGCCACCACCAGGGTCTCCACGTAGCGCTCGGTGCTAACTGACCGCTTCAAGGGCAGCTGGCCCCGTTGGCTTGAGTTGCCCAGCGTCTTCAGAGGAGGCGGCTTCAGGGTCCGCAGCCACCAGGACCGGCCTTTCCACGGTTTCTCGTCTGCGAAGAAATGGCCATGAGGAATGGCATCCTCCGCTCCAATCCGATATGGCACTAAAATCATCCGGTGGGCTGATGTACCACTAAAGTGATCCCAAAAAATGCAGTAGGGATGCCTCGCATTGAAAAGGTCACATAAGGAGGCCTCACATTAAGACGATCCTGTACAGGGGTCTACTACTAAAGTGATCCCATGGGGAGATCTCGGGCTCAAAACACGTCATAGAAAATAATAACAAGAGTAATAATAATAATAATAATAATAATAATAATAATAATAATAATTCTGGGAGATTAATGTAAACTTGGTTCTGACTTTGATTTGTGGGAATTGTAGTTCACCTACATCCAGAGAGTACTGTGAACCCAAACACCAATGGATCTGGACCAACTTGGCACACATACCTGATACACTGAAATTTGATTACTGGAGGGGTTTGGGGGGGAACTGACTTTCCTTTCTGGGAGTTGTAGTTCACCCACAGCCAGAGAAACTGTGACCTCCACCAATGATGGACCTAGACCAAACCTGGCACACAGAACTCCCATGACTAACTCAACCTACTGGAGGGGTTTGAGGGGACTGACTCATCATAGTGGGAGTTGTAGTTTACCCTTGCAGCCAGAGAGCACACTGGACCCCACCGATGATGCATCCAGAGTTAACTTGCCCAACATAACAAACTTTAAGTACTGATGGGGTTTTTCGGGGTTAACCTGGCATGATGTGAGTTGTAGTTCACTCAGAACCTTATGCAGTTTGTACAATTAAAAATTCATTTTTTCAAAAATACCTGGGCAATGCAGGGGACCCAAGCTAGTGTCTTTATACATAAACACTTAAATTTTTAAAAAGATATCATAGGGATACCTCGTATGGAAAAAAATCCCATAAGAGATCCTTATATGAAGATGATCCCATTCAAGGGGTCTATCATTAAAGTGATTTCATGGCCTGAAAAAGATCCTACAGGAAAACCTCGCACTGAAAAGATCCCACAAGGAGCCCGCACGTTGAGATGATCCCATGCAGGAGTCTAGCACCAAAGAGACTGCATGGGAGGACACCTTGCACCAAAAAGAGATCTTGCACTAAACCTGCGTTTCTCAACCTGGAGGTCAGGACACCCCGGGGGGGGGGGGGGGGTAAAAGGAGGTGTCAGAGGGGTCACCAGAAACCATCAGAAAACATAGTATTTTCTGTTGGTCATGGGGGTTCTGTGTGAAAAATTTGGTCCAATTCTATCGTTGGTGGGGTTCAGAGTGCCCTTTGATTATAGGTGAACTATAAATCCCAGCAACTACAACTCCCAAATGTCAAAATCTATTTCCTTCAAACTCCACCAGTGTTCACATTTGGGCATATTGAGTATTTATGCCAAGTTTGGTCCAGATCCATCATTGTTTGAGTCCACAGTGCTCTCTGGGTGTAGGGGAACTACAACTCCAAAACTCAAGGTCAAAGCTCACCAAACCCTTTTGCTATTTTCTGTTCGTCATGGGAGTTCTGTGTGCCAACTTTGGTTCAACTCCATCGTTGGTGGAATTCAGAATGCTCTTTGTAGGTGAACTATAAATCCCAGCAACTACAACTCCCAAATGACAAAATCAACCCCCCCCCCCCCCCCGGCCCCAACAGTATTCAAACTTGGGCTTATTGGGTATTTCTGCTAAATTTGGACCAGTGAATGAAAATACATCCTACATATCAGATATTTACATTACAATTCATAATACAGTGTTCCGTCACTTATCACGGGTGCTACGTTCCAGGACCACTCGTGAAAAGTGAAAATCCGCTAAGTATATTTATAGCGTCCCTGTTTATTTATTTATTTATTTATTTATTTATTTATTTCGAGGTTTTATATACCGACCCTCTCACCTTCAAAAAGGGATTCGGACCGGTACACAACATGTGTTAACATACAAAAATATACAATAACAACACAATGCAACATCATTACACGATTAAAATATAAGCACCATAAACATTAAAAACATTATCATCACAGTTATAAGAGCCAAATCGTCCACACAATCGCAATCCCAAACTACCGTTCATCCTCCTCCTTTCATGTGGGCAAAGAATTAAATCAGTTGTCAAATGCCACGTTCCACAACCAGGTCTTTGTTAATTTCCTGAATGTCATGAGGGAGGGGGCAGTTCTGATCTCTAATGGGAGGGAGTTCCAAAACCGGGGAGCCACCATCGAGAAGGCCCTGTCCCTTGTCCTCACCAGTCGTGACTGTGCAGGCGGTGGGACCGAGAGCAGGGCCCCTCCAGATGATCTTAATGGTCTTGATGGTTCACAGGGGAGAATACGTTCGGAGAGGTAAACAAGGCCCTCACGCTTGCTTACCCACCTTTGCTGTGCCTTTGCTGTGCTCACCTGGTGCGTTGGTATCACTGGGGAAATGGATTCGAGATGCGAAAGGAAGGAGGCCAGCCATGGCTCCTCCTCTTCCCTTTCCCTGCTAGAGCTGGCTTTGCTTTTGCTACTGCTGTCTCTGCCTCTATTGCTGCCGCCACCTTGGATGACTCCTGTACCCTGAGTGAGAGCGCTGCCAGGGAAGGAGGAAAATCCACCCGCTCCCCAAAGAGGCACCCCGAAGGCCAGTAGTACATAGCCTTCGGAATCCATGCAGCTCTTAACTACAACCCAATAAACACTCTGGAGCCACTTCCGGAGCAGCAGTAGCGCAGTAGGCCACACTTGACCAGCAGGCCTTCTCCGACACTCCTCAGGCCCGCACACCAGCCTCCCTTTCTGAGGCCCGTTGGCTGCCAGGCGGAGCCACTCGCCATCCACCACCATGTAAATAATGTAATGAAAATATTTTATCTATCAGAGACGGATAAACTATTTATTTATCTCATCACAGCAGCCCGCATTCTACTGGCCAGAGTACAGAGACAAGCCATAATCCCTACAAAGGAGGAATGGATGGAGAAAATAATGGACTTCATGAACATGGACCAGCTAACATATATATTAGCATCCCTAAGAAATACACCTATAAAAGCAACAGACTGGAACCCTGTTAAAGACTGGTTAAAGGAAAACAAGATAAAGATATTAATTTGAACTTAACTAATAGTAAGAGGAATAGGATTAACAAGAAAAAAAGGGAAGGAAAAAGGAAGAAAAGAGGAATGAAAGAAAGGTGAAAACACTGTTGCCTGCCAATGGGAAAGAAACAACGTCGAAAAGCTGTTTTAGAAAAAAAAATTCAAAGCCATACTAGAGAAGGGTGGAGGTCTCAAGAATGACGGTCTCGTTTGTATCTATATGTGTTTAGATAGAATCATAGAATCAAAGAGTTGGAAGAGACCTCTTGGGCCATCCAGTCCAATCCCCTGCCAAGAAGCAGGAATATTGCATTCAAATCACCCCTGACAGATGGCCATCCAGCTTCTGTTTAAAAGCTTCGAAAGAAGGAGCCTCCACCACACTCCGGGGCAGAGAGTTCCACTGCTGAACGGCTCTCACAGTCAGGAAGTTCTTCCTCATGTTCAGATGGAATCTCCTTTCTTGTAGTTTGAACCCATTGTTCCACGTCCTAGTCTCCAGGGAAGCAGAAAACAAGCTTGCTCCCTCCTCCCTGTGGCTTCCTCTCACATATTTATACATGGCTATCATATCTCCTCTCAGCCTTCTCTTCTTCAGGCTAAACATGCCCAGCTCTTTAAGCTGCTCCTCATAGGGCTTGTTCTCCAGACCCTTGATCATTTTAGTCGCCCTCCTCTGGACACATTCCAGCTTGTCAACATCTTCTTGAATTGTGGTGCCCAGAATTGGACACAATATTCCAGGTGTGGTCTAACCAAAGCAGAATAGAGGGGTAGCATTACTTCCCTAGATCTAGACAGTATAGTATGTCTTTCTTTATGTGAGTGAATGTATAGGTGTGCGGGTGTATGTATGCGTATGTTTATGTGTATATGTGGGTGTAGACATGTATATATATGCATGTGTATATATCTGTATACATATATATATATAGTTTGGTTTTTTGTTCTATGTTCTTCTCTTCCTTCTATTGTCTATTTCTTCTTCTTCACGCTCTTTTCTTTCTTCTTGTTATTCTTTTTCTGATTTATGACTGATAAACTAAACATGTGATTTTATCGTATATTTGTATACTTGAAAGCTTAATAAAAATATTTTTTCATTCATATTTATTGAAAAACCGCAAAACAGTGAGTCCGCGAAAAGCGAACTGCAAAGTAGCGAGGGATTACTGTAGTAGCAAAATTACAGTTATGAAGTAGCAATGAAAATAATGTATTGTCGAAGGCTTTCATGGCCAGAATCACTGGGTTGTTGTAGGTTTTTTCAGGCTATATGGCCATGTTCTAGAGGCATTCTCTCCTGACATTTCGCCTGCCTCTATGGCAAGCATCCTCAGAGGTAGTGAGAATGCCTCTAGAACATGGCCATATAGCCCAAAAAAACCTACAACAACCCAATGAAAATAATGTTATGGTTGGGGGTCACCACAATATGAGGAACTGTATTAAGGGGTCACGGCATCAAGAAAGTTGAAATCCACTGCACTAAACAATGGCATCTGGATAACGTGTGCAGAAAGAAGATGCTCTAGTGCCATGATGGTGAACCTATGACACGCGTGTCAGCACTGACACGCATGGCTATTTTTGATGACACGCGGCCGCATACAGAGAAATACACCTTATAAGAGCCAATCTAATTCCATCCTTAAATTTGTAAAAGGCTCTACAAATTTGAGCATTGTTCACTCCATAACTCAGCATGGAATATACATTTTTTCTTATTTAAACTATAAATATTGCAGAATTATGTTGGTTTTTTTTCTTGAAGTTGACACCCCACCCAAGTTATGCTCAGGTTTTTGGCAAATTTTGACACACCAATCTCAAAAGGTTGCCCATCACTGCTCTAGCGATATCTAGTAAGCCTGTGCCAAGCTTCAGAGGTCTGTTTCGTAATTCGGAGATTTGTACGATTCAATAATACAAATCTCCAAATGACTATTTATTTATTTATTTATTTATACGCTTGTATACCGCTAATATCTCAGCCTAAGTCAGCGACTCATTGCGGTTTACAACATTTAAAAAACAGTATTCAGTTTAAAAGCATAAAACACATATACAATACAAATTATTGGGCCACCAATAATAATCCCATGCATCTCATAACTGGAATCGCAGTCCGAAATTCATCGTCCATGATTACCAATCCTTTAGTCATCAAAATTCGTTGCAACAGATTAACCGAATGCTTGTTTAAACATCCATGTCTTCAATCTATTCCGAAAAACCATCAGCGAGGGGGCTGATCGTACCTCTATGGGGAGGGTGTTCCAAAGCCGAGGGGCCACCACAGAAAAG